GAGTGTTGCCTTCCCGTCAGTTGGCTTCCTCCAAACCGTGACAAGGTCTATTGTAATTTTTACTCCACTATATCAGGGCTAGTAATTGTGATTTTTACAGATAAAAGAAAATAAAAGCATTAAAAAGAAGTACAATGATGCCGGACTCTGACCATGGAGAAGGCAACAGGTGAGGTTTTGAACACTTTTATTCACTTTATGTACAACTTCACGAAAGGAAAAAATAGTCCATTGAATTTCAGAGTCATACCCGAAACTCTTATGCTTAGAGTATGGTACGATTTTTTGCTTCTGTGTTCAGGCAAGCTACCGACAATCACCAAAAAATCCCAGTTGCTATTGAGAAAATAAAATTTCCACGAGTTTTGGGGTATTATAAGCGTAGTTTGAAGTTTCTTCGGTCCCTAACATCGAAGCTTATAATAGGGGAACTACACGGTTCGAACGTGATGCTGAAACTATACGTACATGACATTTCTTTAACATACCAAACAAAGCTTCTCGAAAGTCATAGTTAAGAAAACCGTACAGCGCCCAGTTACACGCGGAGTTCAAATAGCAAAGCCATTTAACGACGTGGCTCGCATATCGACGGTTAGGGAGTTGCTCTTCGAATGCAGCGTCCACAGCGTGAAAGATTAAAAACGGTAACGAACATACCATGAATACTCCAACAAGGAGACTCAGTGTTTTAGCGGATTTCCTCTCCTTTGCAATCCGTGTCTTCTGGCCGTCAATCGTCCCGCCACATAACAGGCCTATCCTACAAGAGTGATCTACTGAGATTCGATATATAAGGGTGTATGACACAACGCATATGTTTAACGGTATCAGACTGTCTAACACAAGCAGTGGAATAGCGTGGGCGAAGGATATAGAGAAGCCAGACTCCATGTGGTCTGTGTTTTCCCAAACAAAAAAACTGTATATTCCACTCAACACGGCGTATATCCAAACGAAGCAGATACTTGCAAGCGTTCTTCTGGAGATAATAGCGCAATGGTGAGTCAAGGGTCGCGCTATGGCTAGGTAGCGTTCTACGCTAATCGCCGCCAAGTTACAGGCAGATGCCGTGCCGAAACAAACGAACATGGAGTTCCAGAGTTTCGTTGTCGAATCGCCAATCGGCCATAAAGGTTCGTGGACGATGCGCACCAACTCTAATGGCATGACAAACAGAGCTTGGAGAATGTCTGCTGTTATCAAGGACAGGAAAAAAAGGTTGGCTCTTGTATGGATGGTTGTGTTGGAGTAGAACGCAGCGAAGATCAAACAGTCGCCTATGAGTGTTACTGTGATGGTCAGGGTGACGACCAGTACTCCAGCGGCTGTGAAAACAACGCTTTTCATTTCTGTCGCGTTTAACGGGGCCGAGAAAGTATGATTAATCGAACTTAAGCACAGAAAAGCTTCGTCTTTCAGTAGGTTCTGTCAGTTTCTAGCCGTCTCTCAAGGCTTACAATCGCACTTTTCTCTCTACTTTCCTTCACAATAAATACACGCCGCCGCAATGTGATTTTTTTTTTCATCGATACAGCCCGCACATCATTAGTCAAAACATTGTTTGGACAGTTGCGGAACTTCCCTTTCATTTGTTGTTTCAGCCATCGTCAGTCAAGGACTGCAGCCTGTCAATCACAGCCGGAACCATTAAAAGCATTAAAACTGCGTTGTTTCGTTTGTCCTTAGATCAAGGCGTCAGTCAATCTTAAAAATTGTCACTGAGCATTGTACACAAAATCCTATTACGATTCTAACATTTGATTTATTCTTTTCATTCAAGAAAAAGGTTTTCTCTGTGTTTCAATCGAGTTATAGATATTACTGCCCGCACATATATGCAGCTTTCAGCACATTCTTTACGGGCTGTTTTCCAACACCATGCTTTTATCAACTGCGGGGGAGGTCTGTATGTCAGACCTCTTGATCCACGTTGATTACACGGATATCAAATAGCTTTTATATCGTTACGACAGTCGATAAATAACATTGGGAGGAATATTTGGATAGTCAGTATATTTTCAGACATGTTGAAATGGTCCCTTTTATCTAGGAAACTCTGAAATATTCATTTGTTGAAAATTGCAACTCTAATTAAGGTGGGCAGAGTCCACCGAAAATTCAGAAAAGAAAAGCTCGGATCACAAAAAACTCTTAAAGAACGTTGAAAATTAGTTCACCGCTTTAGGCTGGTTTTCTCTAACGATGAGTCCGTAGTTGGAGTCGTAATCAGAAGCGCAGAGTGATATAATCTAATTAAAATCAAACCGACGAAGTCGGAACCAGAGTACGGATTTCGCTTATGACTCCTCCGTCCCTTATGATCTAGTGAAAACTTAATTGTTGGAGTCGGAAACAGAAGAATAAGCTAATTGCGTTCGGAGAATGCAGTCCTAATGCAGACTTGACCGAGGTTTTAGGAGACGGCGGGTCAAGGTTGGTGGGATCTTGCGACACCGATTTGGCCGCCCCGCAGCAGGGGCGAAAACAAATGACGTCATCACCAAACCATGTGCTGTACATTTCGTGCCCATCTGCTGCTTCATTCTTATTCGCTTTTCTGGCTTCTATCGTTGTTTTCGACGTTTTGAAGTTTTCTTTGAACTGGTTTTCACTCTGATTGCATTCGACAAAAAAGGGAATGCAGTCCCAATGCAGACTGGAGTGAATCTTTTTGGGCCGGGCGAAAACAAATTACATAATCGCAAAGCACGTGCAGCTTGTAGGCAACTCTTACAAGGTTCGCTCTGATTGGTCGACGTGGTGTTAGGATTACAAAGAAATTCAACAAGAATTGGATTAATTAAAAATATATATATTAAGAAATGAATACCAAAACAAATATACATAGCAGGAGATATATTAAGATTTTGATGGGAAAGGATATTACGAACATAGAAAGAATGCGTAGGTTGATTTAAGTTAGTTTAGGCTTGCAGTTCTTTGTTACTTTTTTGAAATGAAAGATGCTTCATGCAAAGATAAAGTAAAGATGAAAATTTACCCTGTTGCTCACCTTGCTCTGTTGCCTAGTTACCCTTCTTACCTCGTTATCCTTATTGCCTTTGTTGCCCACGGTGATCTGTTGCCCAGTTACCCTTGTTATCTCATGTTGCCCTGTGGCCCATGTTGTCCCATTGCCTATGTTGCAATGTTGCGGCCTCAAATTTGATTTACACGACAGGTAGCTCGTCTTATTCTATGTTTCTTTACCGAATTTGTTCTTGCTTTATACCATGAATGAATCTCTGGATACTCTGGCGACAGAATACTCTTGAGCTAGATAGGATTTGCTGTGGATAAGATCACTCCATCGCAATCACGTACGCCATCACACTGTAAACATCTTTCGGTCGGTCTCTCTTTCTGCGGCCATCAGGGGTCCATCTGAGGGTAACTCTCAACAAGGCTGTTCTCCTTTGCTGTCCCTTACAGAATGTCGGGTTCTGTTCCTGTTTTTCTGTGCAGTTTTTCTTAGCTTTAGATGATGTTCAACCAAAATATGTGGCAACGGATTTCGTCACTCTGAATTCTAAATTAGGGAAATGGACGTCGAGAGGCCTACTCGATGGAAAGTTGTGCGCTTGGCTCTAGAAAATTAACTCGACTGGAAATTAGCGCGGATAAATTAGCTAGGTAGCGAAAAAGGAACTTGTCACGGGTTCCAAAGTACCAACTGGATCTGTTACATCTGGAATGAGGACACCCATAGAAATTGGATTTCACATGTTTATTCTTCTCCCTCCATCCTCGACATAAATCTTTGATGTAAATCGTCCTACATGGATAAGAGTGTAAACGTTACTAAAGGGCCGAAAACCTAAGATAACTAACACAAAGTTCTCTCCACGAGGCGTCAAGTCCTCAACTCGAACTCAGTCTCTCCCTCATGGGAGTGACATAATTGCCGCGTCACTCTCGACTGTCACACTCTTCCCNCCCCCCCCACGGGAAATAGCAGTTTTCTAACCAAAATTTACAAAAAAAGTAAGGGGCTTGGGGTAACTAAGTGTCACTGTGTAAAGTAAACATCAGTGACATCATCTGAGGGGTTTAGTGCCCAATCTCCATATCATTTAAGAGGAGTGCGAGACCTCTCAACCCGACGAAGTTGCAAAGGTAACGTTGGACACGATTCGGGAACGCTTCCTTTCTTCAAGTGAGCAGTAGGTACACTTGGTGAAGCAATGTCAGTCCGGGGGCCTAAAGAAGCTCTGGTTTGTGTGTCTTGTAAAGGGGTATCTTCCCGGATGACACTGTCCTTCACTTGGCCAGATTGGTGTAGGGCAGGAGCAGCATCTTCCGGATTAGCAGTGTGCTTCACTTGACTGGATGGGGGTGGCACAGAAACAGTCTAGAATCTGACCAGGGAGGCGCGACTGCTAAGAAATGACATACTAAGTTTAAAATTAAGATGTCACAATTAATCGTCCAGCTAGATTTACAAACTTTCACATACTCCATTAAGAACAAAAGCAAGATTTGTGAAAGTCAAGCACGATCTCCTTGAATCCACGCGAAAAATGACGACGGCTCGACGGTGTAACATCCTCGTGTTGCACTCCGGTAAGAAGTGGCGCAGTGCACTCTGATTAAATGCACTGCATTCTGGTAAAAAGTGACGAATTCGAGAATTCGTACCCCCTTCTATATATTTTTCTTAAATCCTGATTATGTTGCTGCTCGCTCGCTATGCTCGCCCCGCAGCAAATGTCCCATATCCCATTAATTTTTCCCCCAGATATCCTAGCTGTATCCCGTTAATTTTTTACCTAAATATCCCGTATTCCGAAAACCCCCTATAGGGCCTCATCAGGAGCCCATCACTAGGAGCGTGCAACTACCTCATATATTCCTGTCACGGCGTTTTCACAGACCGATCTATTTTTAGTTTGAACTTAACGCGAATTCAGACCCCCGCAGGAACCCCAGTGACCAATCACAAGCACGGATTTAATTTTTCATTGACGTCATCATATCGTCGGAAGATTATGTCGACATGTCCATCTGAGGCCGCCATTTTTTTCCTTACCGATGAGCGCTCATGTAGACCAGAACTGACCTATTTCGCGGGAAAAGAGGGCTAAAAATAGACCGGTCTGAAAAGATGCTGTGATATAGGCTTAGCATGGGAGTTGCACGCTCCTAGTGATATGCTCCTGGCCTCAATTATTTGCCTTTATAAAGTTGATAATCAACGAAATGAAGACCATGATGCGATTTTAAAAAACACACAAACAATCGCCAAAACAGTCCTTTAAACAAGAAAAACCACACCAGTTGTTTGCTCAAGTATAAGTTAGTATTTTAATGAACCCTAAAACAGTTTAATGCTTATAGGAACTATGCCGCGTGCCATAAATAAACTGGTTGTTTTAAAAAAGATGTACTGTAACACGTTTAGATGCGAAGGAAACATCATGATGTCAGTTGACCGGGGAAGAGAAACACATCAAATGGTTGATCGAAAAGACAAAAAATGAATAAGGAAGATGTAGGCCAGGAAAGACTGGAACGGAGCGGCAATTTTAGACAGGGTTAATTTCTTTTTAGAGGTAGGCTGCGCACTCCGTGACATAGCCCCTTTAAAAACTCCCACTGCATTGCTTGGACACCAATATGCTTTAAAATGGTTAAAAAATATGAAGAAATACTAAGAATGCTTTACAAGCTATAAAAGTGTTTTACAATGATATGTATAAGCAGCGAAATAAATATAATTTGAATGATAAATACCTTAAGATGCATAACTTGCGTAAATTCCTTTTTACAAAGAAAAGCGAAAACATGACGGAATTTGTCTTACTAGACTGTACGTTTTGAAACGGGTTTAGCATTGTAGTTTGATGCTGACTTCAATGCTAAATTTTACCGTTCCTGTTTTCTGTACAATAATTAACTGGCAGAGACCAGCAAACAGACCGAGGAGAGAAATTGTTTAACACTATCAGGACAAAGATGCTTACGAGCTTAGAATAGGGCGTAGGGGTAGCATTAAGAAAAGATTACATACAACAGACATTTCTAGGTGAAATAATGACCAATGGTCTAATCCATGTTGACCAAAATGTTTTTATCTGGTTAAAGCCTGGCCGTTAATTTGACTTCTGACGCCGCTTTATCAAAAGCCTTTCCTAAAACACCACACCACTAGTAATACAAGTCAATTCACTCACCATTGTTGTGCTTCAGGAATGTCGACCAAAATTAACATACACTTGTACTTAGAAGCAGATAAATAGTCTAAATAGATTAACTTTTTTGGCCGGCTTAAAACACTTCAATGATGACACACATGGAGTGCAAAAAAATAATGATTGTGTAACACATTTTGCTTTCAGTACAAAAACTAGTTAAATAAAATATCTGTCTGCACGCAATGCAGGCCTACAATTTCCATGCGTTTTTCAAGCATGAGCTTCCATTTGAAAGTGTTCTTGATCCTGATTACTGGCGCCCTTTGTCTCTGTTTGGTCTTTCTTGTAATGTGCGAACAAAAAAGCGTACTCTGGGTGAGACACGGAGAAATCCCGAAACTCCTCTGTTGACAAGATGTAGACGAACGAAATTAATGTACAAATAACGGCTCGGTTTTCACCAAATTTCTACATGTATCATTTTCTACTGGGCTCCGTTCGATATGACGAATAATAACCCACAGCGCAGGAAAAAAAAAAAAAAGATTGCAGAATAGTCTTCTTCAAACATTTCCCCTGAACGGCCAAATAAAAATACACGGGAACCCCGGCTCACGGTCACCTCGTTAATACGGTCACCTCGTTACTATGTCCACATTTTGGTCCCAGCGAAACGCCAATACATTTTCTCATAAGAAAACCATTTATACAGCCACTCAAACCAGTTATGTTCATCTTTCCATTATTATTATTTAATGTGCTGACTCAAGTTTAATTTTTTTTTTTTTCAAGTTTGAATTTTGACAATTTTGTATTGTCTCGTTTGTTGAGACACTGCGTCCTGGGGATGGAAATTAAGATAGTTCTAAGTCATTCCAAGTGGCTATAATTGATCACGACAAAATTTCTCTCCGAAATTTTCATCATGCAGGGTAATCTTACACACTTAGACTGAACTGGCAAAAGAAATTAGAATCCATACCACGAGTAACAATCTAATTATCTAACAGCAGTGTTTTGGGGTTCAATTACACCCTTAATATCTACCTTGCCAGCAATTACCCCTTAATAACGCACGTCTTGCTGCCGTCTGACTTCGCATCTCAGTCGCTTTGGTAATGGCGATGTAATCCGGAAATCACGGGTTCGAAACTCGACCGGCCACAAGAAATATTTCTTTGCCTCTTGTGATGCCCAATTTCCTTTTTAGGGCTCATACCCTTTACGAATCACTTAGGAGACAACTTTCTAATAGGCCACGTTCGATATACCAATATTCTAACATGACTCCGAGGCTTTCGGAACATAGTCTCTATTTACTGTTGTTTTCTTTGTATCCAAGTGTCTTTTGGGGATCGAGGGACAAAAGAAGTGAACCTTACAAAAATTTGCAATTTTGACCTGAAAGCCTTGGAGCCATGTCAGAATATTGATATATCGAACGTGGCCTATTTCCAGCTGAGCTTAATTGCCTTTTTCACGGTTAACTCCCACTTGCATTACAATGTGAATGAACATGTATTCGGGCAATTTGGTAGTTTCTACCCAAAATTGCCTAGCGTCCACATTGGATTAAATAGGCCACTTCCGAGTTGCCTTTTGCCTCTGTGTCAAAGCGAGTCTTGTGCGAAACCATTCATATGAAAATAAGTTCAGCCTACAGGTTCATTTTTATGCAAATCAAACTCATTTCCATAAGAAAGGTTTTGCGCAAAGACTCGTTTTGAAATGGAGGCACAATGTGACTCGGAAATGGCCTACTGTATTGCATATAAGAAAAGCCAACAGTGACAAGGGCTATCAGAAAACTTGACTTCACTTACCATACGTAACAGATCCTCTGCGATTCACATCCACCTGATTGAACAAACAGTTGACATTCAGGTCCGTAATGGACGGGTACGCACTCTGAAGAATGTGACGCAGCTCAGACTCATCAACTCTTCCATCACCGTTCATATCAAAAGCCTTCAAAAGAATCAAGCACACGTGTTACCAAGGGCGCTTTCCATTCGACAAAAAAAAAAAAATTCCGGTTCGGAATTCCGGAAATTTACAGTGGCGAATTCGAATGGAACAGCATTTTCGGCAATGGAGGATAACCTCGCAAGGTACATCCAAAATTTCTATTAACCGGAAAATTTCCTTCCCATCTGATTTTCCGCCTGGATTGTCCGGAATTTTCGGTTGAATGATTAGCATATCGGAAATTTCACAATTTTCGGAATTTCCAGAAACGTCCCCAGGCCAATTTCGTACCATTTACCCCCGTTTTCCAAAGTTGCGACGTTTTTTGGTTGAATGGAAAGTTTCATTGCCGCCCTATACTAATAGAGAGACGCTTTTTCCATTGGACCAAAAATTCCACTTTTTTTCCGGAAACTTCTATTAGCGAACGGACCAATACTCTCCGGTTTACCATATCGAGCCTGAATTGTTTCCGCAATTTCGGAAATCAAGGCCAACCTCGCGAAGTATGAATAACTAAATCTTTGAAAATAACCAAATATTTGCATTCCATTTTGCTCCCAGAAATTTTGGAACTTTTGGTTATTTGAACCGCATTTCAGAAATTCAGTAGTTTTTGGATTTTCTGGAAACTTTCTCTAGCCTTTTCCTACCCATTAGTCCACGTATCCGGAATTTTTGGTCCAATGAAATCGAAAGAAATTTGGTTTGGCTTTTGCTGGGCAAGCCTATGTTCAACACACAATAACCAATCACAGCAGAACGTTCTAGGTGCCAAACCAAACCCACGTAATTTGGTTTATTCGCGTTTTCTCGCGCTTGCCGTTGATAACGTCTTTAGCTTCAAATTCAGATTGGTTGATTAAGTTCCTTATTTGGAGTAGTAGCAGAGGCATATACCTGTACCCCCCAACAGTCGTTCTAAAACAAAAGCTTTTAAGACTGAAAAGCTTTGCTTAAATTCGCCTTCTTTGGTGAGTAAGGAAAACAACGTTTAGACCACCCGAATGAAATCTCCAGCCCTCAGTGGTATTAAATCAGCGGTGTTACAATATCAATGATTTTCCCTGAAATTTCTTCAAAATGTCAATAGTCCTTATGCATGATGACATCAGACAAGCACTGAATTTCACCACCAAGCCTCCCTTTTAAACTGCAAATTGCAAATTTTATCGTGGACAAATTCCCAAAGCAGCTAAGATGAAAAGAATATCTTCGTGAAAACATCGCGAAGGCGCAAGGGGCTTGAGAAAATTTCTCGCAAACGAGGCTTGGTGGTGAATGTTCAGCATGTGACATAATCATGCATACGGCCCATTTTCCCTGACCCAAAATATAACTCCCTGACTTTTCCCTGACCTGAAGAATTTTTTCCTGCCCATTTTCTGACATATAGCAACCCTAACAGTGGCCTGCATAATTTCTAACCTGAAAAGCTAACTGCATGGCCTCTTCACTATTAGCTGGCTGAGACACAAGCGCCAAACCAATCAGGTATTCACGAAAGTTTATGTGACCCGAGTCATCCTGAAAAGAGAGAGGTGATACAACGATTCAGCGGTCAGTAATCTTTCAAATTTATTAGCCCTGAGCAACACAAGTCAATGGCCCAACCTCGTCAGGCTTTTTCTTCCTCCGTGTTTAGAACCTACACATGAATGAAGTACAATGGCATCGCAATTTTAAGTTATGTTTTTTCTTTTAATCCAAAACTGATTAAAGTAAAATCAATACATTTTCTGCTAGCCCAACGGGAAACTTGACACAATTTTACCGAACTACTGGGCTAGCGTAAACGCACCCTCGCAATTTAGGTTTAATTTCTCGTCTCTTCTTGCTGGGACTCTGCATTCAGTCATTAAACTACCTGTTCTGAGGGCTCCCTCATACACGGA